GGGGGTACCCCCCCCCCCCCCCAATAATCGAAAATTTTCAATTTTTTCCAGCGAAAGCTGTGGAGTTTTTCCTACATTTCACATTATCTCTACGGAATTTTTTCGACCATACTCTCTTACACCCCCCCAATTTTTGTCCTTCGCGCGGAGCCTGACTGGAGCACACTATTACCAAAAAAAACCGATATATTTTGAGAACCGATGTCAGTATTTTCATTAACACTGATCATTTCTAGTTCAAAAAATTAATTTTTTTTGTATTGTCATATTTCATAGTGGTTCCATTGATTCCTGTTAGCGCTGTTTTGGCTATTGATCCATCAAATTATACCAAACGAGATGATGGAATGTAAGATAATTCTTTCATTTAATCTTAATACTAATTATTCAATTGTCTAGTTGTTGGCTATCTGGTCAATTACTTTATTTATCATTTATATTACCAATAGTTTTATATATAATGATAAATAGTATTCTATTTTCAATGGTTGCTCATTCACTTTTATGTGGAAAAACAGGTCAACAATTACGTAGTACACATATGGTTGAATCAAAACGTTTATCACGTTTTTTAGTAGCATTAAGTTGTTTTGTTGTACTTGGTCTTACATGGATATTTGGTTTATTTACAATTGGATCAATACGTTTTTTATTTCAAATTCTTTTTTGTACATTTGCTTCATTAACAGGATTTTTCATATTTCTTCTTTATATTGTAACATCAAAAGCAAAACGAAAATGTTGGAATAGTATGTTAATATACATCTCTTGTTTGTATTTCTCTATGTTTTTTTTTTCGATTATTTAGATACATTTAAATCACTTGGTATATCATCAATTTATTCACCAACATTATCAACATCATCGGCTTTAAATGGTAATAAAGAATTATCAACATCATCAACAAATGATCAACAAAAAATTCCTTCACGTTTCGTACAATTTCCATCACAACCACAACATTTTATTGATGCATACATGCCATCATCACCTCCACCACCAGCTCCACCATTACCATTACCACCACCTTTTTTAATTGAAGGTGATGATCCATTAAATAGAACAACATTATTAAATAATATTTATGAATCAAAACATGTTTGGTCACCACAAACAAATTATATTTATGAAACTAATCAACCAACAACATCATTAGATGATTATTCTTTATTCTATGCTTCACATCATGATGCTACAAAACTTTAATTTTAAGTTTTTTTTTCTTCTATTTGTTTTACAGTCAGATGTGCATGTATGCTCAATAATCCGGTTGTTTGTTTTAATCCATTTTTTCTTTTGCTGCATATGTAATTCTTCTCTTTTATGAAACAAAAATATTCGAGAAGATTTCCAAATGATTAATATCAAAAAGAAACACAAAAAAAAAAAATATAATCATTTTTCATTTTAGTTTAATTGAATAATTTTATTTATATGTATGAGAAAAATTTAACAAATTACTTGAAGTTTTCCACAGAAGATACATGTTAATAAGAATAAATTATTGTGAAAATTGAAGATTTTTTTTTGGTTTGTTCTGATCCTGATGTATGAACATCGCATCAGCAGATGTTTAAATTAAATGAAGAAAATGTACAAAAAAAAACAATATGATAAAAACTAATCTTTTCTTATATAAATCTCTATGTTTTGATAATGCAAGCAAATATTTCTCTAATAACTATTTTATTCAATTAATAACATAGAATATATATTCGAAATTATTAATCATAATGAAAATGAATATTCAAAAAAGAAAATTCTAATTTCATTATCAAACACATCAGTATTGTTGATACTTTTATCCTGTTTACTAATTTTTTTTTTGAAATTTAATAATACTTTTATTCCGAAATAATTGATAACATTTAATAATATGTTTTTTCTAGATTACTTGATAAAATATTAATCTTATATTTATCGTAATATCTTATCCTATAAGAATAATAACTTGAATTTGACTAGGGTCACTCTATTTATTTCTATACGAAAAAAGTAACAGGATGGTAAGCGCACTTGAATGATTATTTATTATCGAAGTATATCATTATTTACTTAGATAAGAAGAAGCATTTGATGAAAACGACCTTACAATATATTTGATTTATATTTTATTCCTCACTTGTAAGTGTTATACTTCTCGATGATAATATGTGTGTATGCTGTATTAAAAAGATTTTTTTTAATCTAGTTTTTGATAAGAAGATTTAAAATATTATGCTTTATTAGAAAAAAGAACAAACATTAGTTCCATTGATTAATTGATATAAATAATTCAATATTAATTTTTAATTTATTCAATATATGAAAAAACAACTGAGCAGCTAAAATCGAATGATTAGTATCATTCGATTTTTGATAATTTTCAACAATACAAAAAAAGAAAGAATATTGATTTGTATTTGCGTGCATCTGTCTTGAAGTTATTATTTCGTGTCATTTGTATAATGAATAAATAAATAAATTCATTATTTATACAAAAAAAAACAATTATTTCTATATAATAGTTAAATGAAATTCTTGATTAATTTATTCATTACAGAAATGATGTAAGAAGTCTGTATCATTACTATAATGTTTTATATTATTTATTTTCATGAATTTTCTTTCGATTAACGGATCTCTTAGTAAATAGAAAGCTTCATAGGACTACATATTCAATATTAACTTTGTATATGGATTAAATATTCGTCAGACACGAAAACATTATTAATTAACTGTATGTTTAAGCTTTTTTTCATGTTAAATTTACATTATTATCTCTTTTGTAGTCTATGCGAAATATATACTAAACAAAAAAAAAGGTATCAAGGATAATATTTTGATATATTGAATTATTTTAAGACTTCTAAAAATATTTCTACTATATTTTATTTAATTGTATGTTATTTCATGTTTACTGTTGTTGATAATTCTTCTAGTCTCGTATCAAGATATAGTTCTGAGTAATCTTCGAACGATTCTTCATAACACAAGAATCAAGTTTCTATTTTAACTCTTATAACTCGAAGTAATAGATGATATTGAACAAATATAAAATTTTCTTTCGGGTTAAATAAAGAACATTGAGTGAAAATATGTCTCGATTTGTTTTCGTATTGCTTATAGACAGAAAAAAAAGTAAATAGAATATGGTTGTATTATTCTTTCAAAACAATATAGGGTTTAAATTTCTCCGATAGATTGATCAATGCATCAGAATCTTACGAGAAAATCATTTTAAATCATAAATTGATTTTGAACTCAAACATTAAATCGATAAAATAGAAGTCAGTCAAATACGAAAATTTCCAAAAGAATGAATAATCTTAAACCTTCTTTTCACAATTATAGCCATTTTAAGCTATTGCATGATGTGTATCAGCAAATCTAATGAAAAGTATTTCGACCTAAACTTTCGCTTATAGAAAGGTCAGTTTATGATTAGAATACTTTGAAAATTTTAGTTCATAAGAATCTTTCGAACTGAGGAAAGAATTTTTTTTACTTGCAACGATTCTCTCGTTAGTCACAAAAAAAAATATGTGACCTCTTTTATAACAAAAAAGAATTATTCTTGATGCAAAGATTATTCACTGATAGAAAAATTACTCGGAACCAGAAGTGGAACTGCAGCTATGAATTCGGTTCCGATTACTAAAAATGAGAAAAAAAAGAAACTACTTCCGGTTTCCAAAATATCACATAGAATTGAAAATGTTAAACTATCAGCTAGATACCAAAATTTTAAATCTATTTGAAGGTTTCACTTCCAGTTTTCAAACCGCTGAAATCTATTTACTAATCATAATCACAGTTGTTATTGAACATCTGACAATTAACTTTAAAAATGCAATTTTAAATCGTTGCCTGATTGAAATATTTTATTCTCTGATGACATGATCAATAGATAAAAAATTATCAGTCACATCTATACATTTTATGCTTATATGCAGCTGTTACAGTTAAAAAAAAATTGCTCGAGGATACTTATGTCTAAAAGCATGAGTCAATGTCTAACAGGCATCATTTATGACTTGTTTATGATTTTTTTGTAGGTATTCGTCAATATAATAATAACTGAAAGGCGTCTCTTACAATAAGTGACAAGTATGAATTGGCAAAAACAATATCATGCTGAATTATATGTTCGATCGATTCGGTATGACATCCATCGCGAATTTTCTTCGTTGATATACATATTATTTTTTTTTTCTTTATCAATCATTGCAACAATAATCAACTAAATTATTACGTGAAGTAACGCAAATTTAAATATATTTTAATGTGTTGTTCATTTTATCACAAATAGAGCATATCATACAGTAGAATCTGTACGATTGATCTCGAATTCAATTTAATTTCGATTTGAAATAAATTCAATAAATTGATTTCAAGTCTTGAAATGTTACACTCGACAAGTTGTATTATTCAGAACACAAAAGAGCTCTTATATTATTTCAAATTTTAAGTTGAATGACGCATATGCATTTTTGTCCTTCAATATTTGCATCACTATGTGATTACTCAACGTTAAACGAATACGAAATGATTTAGCATAATATATGATTCATTGCACACTAACAAATTCAATTATTAAAATTGATGTAAAAATTTACTTCGTTATTTATTTCTATTTAGATATAAAAGACCCAGATTAATGTTATTATTCACAGATATATAGGTCTAACGTTTCTTTTGGAAAATATTACTAAAATTTTAGAACCTTTTTTTTGTCCGTCTAAGAGAGAGAAAAAGAACAATTACATCAAGTAAACATATACAAGATAATGTAAATAAAATTAATGTGTATTCTTTTTCATATTGTCATAAACATAATTAAATAATAATTGTCGTTGCTGAAAGAAAAACAAACAAAAGAAGAGAAAAAAAATGAACCTTTACATTAATATATATATATAATATGGAATGATATTTGTCATCGTATTAATTATTAAAACAAACAAAAAGAAAAACATTCTATATTTGATCACTGTAAATAACAAGAAAAGAAAAAATATTTAAAGAATTACAGTTGTATTTTGTGATGATTGTTGTTCTTGTTGTTTTTTGAGATTAACAATAGGTTGACTATTTCTTCGATATTTATATGATGATGGTATTGGAAGATTTGTAGTATTTGTACGTTTTGTTGATGAATTCAAATTTCGTCCTATTTTTATTGATGATTCTTTTTCACTTGTATTACGTTTAATATCTAATTTTTTCATACGTAATTCATATGCTTTATTTTCTCTATAATCAAAATTAGTTGAATTTATTGTTAAATTTCGTGGACTTTTTATTGATGATATACTTGAATTATCATCACCATTTGATTGTAAACGTTCACGACGAAAATCTTGTTCATCAAATCCAGAATCTCGATCAATTTTTGATATATCAAGAATTTTGTCAATACATTCCGATGATTGTGATCGTTTAACAGCAAGTAATGGTTTACGACGTTGTTTTGTTAATTGTTCTTCTTTTTTAACTCCTTCAACAACATTTAATAATGTTGTTGATCTTGAAGAATATTTATTTAAATTACTTATAGATCGTTTACGATTAGCAGCTTGTTCTTGTTGAAATTTTTGTTTTTGTGCTAAATAATATGTAGAACAATATCCAGTTGATTTTTTAGGTGAATGTGAATTAGATGATGGTGGTGGTGGTAATGATTTTGGTTTTTCTTCTAATATACCTTCACTACTTTCTAAACTATCATTATCCATATTTGTTGTATCATCATTTGAATTTGATTTTTTATTAATTTCCATTACATCTTCAATATCACTAATATTAAAATCATGTGCAGTTTCAAAAGATGTTACATGTGTATAATCATCAATTGTATCAATAATAGATTCGATGATATTTCCTTTTTTTTTATTTAAATTTTGATACGATGTTTTCGTTGATTGAATAATATTTTTTTTATTATCATTAGAAGAATGATTTTTAATATCAATAGGCGATTCTATTTGAAATTTATTTATTGGTGAAGATGATCGAAAAGATTGATTTTCAATTGGATTTATATGTAATGTTTTGATTGTTTGTTCGATAGGTTCATCTTTAATATCTAATGATGATGATGATGATAATGATGGTGGTTTACTAGGTATTGCTTCTGTTAATGATGAATAATCTTGATCTGTACTTGGAGATGATTGTTTATTATAAATAGATGAAGGAGTAAGACGTCCTGTAACACGTGTACTTTTTATTTTTGTTGTTGTTGTTGGTGGTGGTGGTGTTGATAGTGATTGATTATGATGATGAGGACATACAGATGGTTGATTAAGAATATCTTCTTCTGTTTTATATGTTATTTGTCCAATATGATGACGTCCATCAGCACCACGTGTTATAACAAGTTGAGCATCGACTAGATTTGTATCATGAATAGCTGGTTTTGGTAAAGGAAATTCGTCAGTTTTTATTGTTATAGATTTTCCAAAAGGAGTATTTTTTTGAACACTAGGTGATATATTTGTATTTGGTATAGCAAGAATTGGTATGTTAGAATGATGATGATGATCAGAATGACGATGAACTTTAAAAGTAATAAATATAGTTAATAAAAGAAGAAAAAAAACAATGAAGGTGAAGTTTTATTGATTTACTACCTGATCGTCGACATGGATCATGCTTATTGAGATAATTTTCAAGTGTATCCCAACCACCTCCAACACGAACCATAACATGATTTCTTAAGATCTTTAAAAAAAATTCAATAATTTTTATTCTAATGAAAATTTTTTTGTTTTTGTTTGTATACATACACGAATAAATATAATTGTTCCACTTTCACCAATACGATATTTACCTTCACCTATACGTATGACAGGAAAACGTTGTGAACAACAACATGTATTTGCAATTTTGACTACCTTAAAAAAAAAAAAAAAAAAAAAAAATCTCTCGTTATTGTTAATTTATCATGAAATTTAATTGTTTTTTTTTTCTTTTTCTACTTACTGTCTTATGTAAATGTGATGATGAAACTGGTGGTACAATTGACTGTTGTCGTTCTACTATCGTTCGACTTAATTGTGAATCTTGATTTGATGTTATAATTGTTGTATTTATTTCACTTGATGTTGTACTGTCATAACTTTCTTCACTATTTTGTCTTCGTTTACTATTATTTGAAAACTTTGGTATATGTGATAAATTTTCTTCTAAAGAATTAGAATCATTTATATGTGTTATTGATGAAAATATATTATTTGAATTTTCATTTGTTTGATGATGATGATTATTATTATTATTATTTTCGTCATCGTTTTTATTAATATTATTATTATTTTCGTCATCATTTTTATTAATATTATTATCATTATTAGTAATATTATTAGCATCATCATCATCATTATTATCAACAATAGTTTGATAATTCATTAAATTCAATGTATTTTTTTCATTTTCATCATTTTCTCTTTGTAAATATTTGACTTCTTCATATGATAAAATTTCTTTTTGTTTATCACGTTGTATTTCTCGTTCAATTTCTTCTTCAAGTTTAATTATAGCTGGTACACTAACACCAAATTTAGCACCAAAACGAGCAATTTCAAGTAGACAAAGAATAAAATTTTTTTCATTTTTTCGTAATATTAAATCATCAGATTCAAACATAAGAACTTCACGAACACAAGCTATATATCGTGCCCATTTAATAAATTGTGATACATTATCACGTGCATTAAATGATTGTGGACGAACATTTGAACGATATTTACAATTAGTTAAAATTGATGATGATGGTAAAATTTTTCTTGCTGCAGCATTAACATTATTAGCATGTTGACAAAGAAGTACACCATTTTCTATATATATATATGAATATATATACATATGATTAAAATAAATAATTTAATAATATTTATTATTTACCTAAAGATTCAATAAAATTATCGGCTGTTATTGGACACCATTCAGGATACATATTTGCAAGCCAATCAGCAAGATCTTCTTTCATAGCATATAAATATTCATCCGTTGTTGAATATGGTTGAAGAGATTTCATTTCAAGAAAACGTGATTGAGGATCAATCACTAATTGTTCGATAGCCGTAGCCATCATTTGATTATATTTTACTAAAATATAATTATCAAATAATAAATTATTAATTAATCAGTTAATTATTTACTTACAACGCATACTCTTTCTCTTACTATAAATTCCATATGATCATGATGATTAGTCGAAATGCGAACAACTGTACTTCTTTTTCTCGCTCTCTCTCTTTATTTTATTTTTTTTTTTATTCTCCTTCAAAATTTCTTTTTTTCTCTCATTTTCTTTGCTAGTAGATGTATATATGTATAGGCGAGTGACTTTTTTTTTTTTTTTTGATAGAACATATAGCACCCTTTCGGTCATAGTCATTCGTTCTCACTTGCCCGCTCTCTTGTCCTTTTTCTTTCTTCTCGTTGATTTAAATTTTATTTTAGTCTCTATATTCAAACAATCAGCATTGTCGTGTTCGACGACCTCATTTTACAATTAAGATAGATTAGGATATCTATTCTTTTTTCATCTTAATTCGTTTGATGAATGAGAGGTGTGAGAATAATTATATTCATTTGCATGTGTAGGAGTAATTTAAACCTGTACAGAAAATTAGTTTTAACAAAAGAGGAAGAAGAAAAAGATATGCATAGAAGCGTTGGCGAATAAAGGTTTTATTGTACATCACATCCATTATACTATACAATTACAGAGTAATCAAATGAAAGATAGATGATGTAAGATGATGAACAATTTATTGATCAAAATTAAAGAACAAAAGCTGACACCACCTACTACAATCTCATATATATATATATACAGTTGAAAAAAAATCGATAATGATGATGTATACTTCATATTGAATGATGTCTCAATATATATACGATAACATAATTGTTCATTTATTTTGCTAACTCAACCAATATTCACTAGTCATTGTTACTAACTCAGATTACATGTAAACAACACTTCAACGTTTAATCAATATTACAACTAACATACAAACATTGACTATGATCTTTTTCTCACATATCAAAGATAAATCTCATGCTGATATAAAATATAAACTTCGCTTTTCTTTTTTTTTTCTTATAATAGACATTATATGCATATAAAAAGAGAAGGAGAGAGAGACACAGGTCAAATAAACAAAAAAGAAGAAATACTAAAGCAAATTGGATGCATATGTTCAAGACGAAATGTCTGTCTACACAAAGACTATGAAAGAAAACAAAAAAAAAAGGAAAGATATTTATTTTTAAGATGCCATGAAAGATTTCTTCAAATAATGTCTGATTATTTACATTAAGAAACACGAAATAAAAAGAAACTGACAAAAGACAATAAAATTGTCTTATCAATTTTGACATTTGTTACTCTTATCAATATCTTGTTGTATTCAAGTGGTTTCATACTTATTTAGTTTGAAATCTCAAGAAGGAAATAAGCTAAATACAGTTCATATATGTCTTCATTACATGACTCGTCAATAGACAAACGATCAAAGTGTATTTGTATACGTCCATCTCTATGTCCATAAACTCATCTCGCTTTTAAATAAATGTCAAACGATCGCCTTCTTATACATATTCAACAAACTATTGTACATATTTTTACTTTACATGTCAAGGATTTCTTTATTTTCGTTCTCGAATGGACAATCACACCTACATAGACAATGTCGCAATATATATATTCATATATACATATAGAAGCCATTCATCAAAATTGTACACTTACAAATTGATAGACATGTATTTCATATAGAAAAAAAATTGATTATAAATGAAACTAGTTTATTCATGACATGATTGAACAACATATGACGTAGATACCTTATGGGAGTACCTCTCGACTGATCTTTTCTTTGATCAACAAAGGAAATGAAATAATATCAATGAGTGTGTCCTTTCAAAATAATTCCTTTGTTATTTTATTTAAAATTTCTCATATATTCAATAGACAAATACATCATATGTATTAAAATCAAATATCTCTTATTGTCGATATCTTCACTATCAAGAAATTATTAAAAAAAAAACAGAAAACATAATATAATATTACCTGATATATGGCGAAATTAACGAAGGAAAAAAACAACACTATTTAAATGATGTGTGTGTGTGATTAACCAGTGAAAAAAAAATATTTTTTTTCTTTTTATTTTTTTTGCCTCTATGAGTCACCACCTAGTGATGTTAACAATGATTTTCTTACCTATGGTTTTATCTTGATAAAAATATAAGAATAAATATTATGCGAAGGTTGTGATGTATTGTTTTATTTACTATTGATGAAAGACGAAAGTGCATATAGCCAATAGTCGAAATCGTGTTCTTCTATACACATTTGCAATACACAAACGATTCAACAAAAACACCTACATTACCAATGATGACAGCAACGAAACACAAAAGAGAACACATGTGTGTGTGTAATATTTGCATGACGGTAAAGAAAAAAGAAAAAAAAGGGAAGAATGGGATAAAGAAAGAAGCACGAAGAATACACATGGAAAAAGAAAAACGAGTACGAGATTGAAATAAAAAAAAGAAATATTTAATGATGTAACACGCCTGTTTGATGAGTATTGTATAGTATTCGTGTCTGGTGAAAAATGGCACCGTAATCAAGGTCAGTACAATCAATAAACTTCATTTCCTTTTCATTATATATGTGTTTAGTAGTATTTTATCAAAGGGCAATATGTCTGGACGAACTAATAATAATGATGGGTACGATTAATAGTCTAACACCTGTTTGTTATTTCTGACCATATCTAGATTTTCATATACTATTATAATAAGTATTTATGTGTATTTACAATATGGATAAAGATTTGTCGTCTTAACAAAAAAAAAAAAAAAAGAAACTTTCTAAAGTTGACTTGATGAACATCTGGAGAATATATGACAATAGTTTATTCTTATCAGGTAGAGTAACCTTGAACATGAAGGATCTGTTCTTTTTTAATATTTTTATATAGCTGATTAAAATGAAGAACATTCTACAAACAAACATACGGATACATATGTATTTATTTACGATATGAATTTGAAACAATATATTTTTAATAAACTATTCTTGAATTGTATCAAAGCGATCCTATTGAAAACAGAGTGATTAGTGGAAAAGATCATGTTGAATGTTACGAGAAAAAGATTGCTTGGCTTAGTTCATTCAATACATATAACCTAGAAAAAAAAAAAGGAAATTGCATAATCAATAAATACATCAAATCTATTGAATTATATACTTGAATACAATTATCAATGAATCTTTTTGTTAGATTCATGTAAAATGTTTTCAAATGGACATTTAAATCGATGTATCATTCACACACAAAAAAAAAAATGAGGCCGACATAGATGTAAAACTTCTGATTAGTGTACCAGTAAAATGAATGACCTATTGTTTTTTATTTTATTTTATTTATATAAAATTACAACTATTAGGACTCAATCGAATATTTATATATAAACCGATCGAACTAAATAAAAATATTCCTATTTCAATATATCTAATACAAGAGATTAGCTTTGTTATTTTTATATGATTTTGGTTTTTCTATTGAAAATGAATTTCAAATAAAAACATGTTATAAAATACGATGTATAATAAGAGCACCAAATTTTTTTTATTCGTCTATGGTCCATATGACAGAATGAAGTATTTTTTTTTTCTGTTGAATATTTGTTATGTTAATTTTAATAAAAATTTATTGAGATAAAATTTAAATGCAACATTTGTTTGTTGAAACTATTGCATAAGAACTGAATTAATGCAGCAATTTTTTTTTGCTCACTCAAGATGTTATTTGAAAGAAAAATATCCAATGTATTGACGATGTCATATGAAATTATTTGAAGAATTTGTAGTTTAAGATTGATTTTCAATCACTTGTTGTTTTTTTTTTGAATTGAACAATCATCTTATATGTAAAATTTCGTTTTCATTGACATTACATCCGTAGATGACAGTTATTCAAATGATAGTAAAATGAAAATTTAATCTACTACCGCTTACTCTGAATAGTATGAAAATAATTTTTTTTAATAAATAATTTTTAAATTGATTAAACAAAGCTTTAAAGTCACAAGATCAACATAATTTGCACTATTAACTAAAAGTTGTACTTCAGGACAGTCCAATATCCTTGAAGATATTAATTACTGAAAAAAAGCAAATTAAAAAAAAGACTTATCAAATATAAATTATTATCAATTTGATTATATATTTTGAAACATACGAAAATAAATATTCTGTATTGAAAAAAAGGTAACAGATACTGCTCAAAAGAACATGAGCTTCAACTTAACAAAATAATTCAACTTGAATAATGTATTATGAGAACGTACAGATGATTTGAACGTGACATTTTGAAACAAAAGAAAATTCAAATAAAAAAGAAAATCAACTTATTATTCGAAGAGAGGACAATGCATACATCGAAACAATCAAGAGTAACCTTGAATATGTTTTTAACTATGCTTAATGCTGTCAAAATAATTACAAACTCATATCCGTAGAGAATAGCATATAGTCGAGTAATCACAAAACAAAATTTTCTAAAAATCAAAGGAATAAAAAAAAACAACAGATAACGTCTAGTCCATTTTGTTAAATCTGAAATGTACTGTCGACTAATATATCTTTATCATTTGTCTTTCCTTCTATTTTCATGCCAATTCATTCAACTTACTCTACGATAGATACTTGATCATTTTCATATAGTCTAAAATTATACTTTATTTTCTTCGTCGGTCTACAATTTAAAGGAAAGCGAAGGTAGTCAAACAAAAGACCTTGATAATGGTGAATAGCATGTGCTTTTTGTCGTTGAATGCAATAGGGTCCTAAGCACATACTGAGAATGAATCTACCTACGACATCGAAGCAATGACTTACCACATTGTCGTCTTCGTTGAAAGAAAATCTGTAACGCTGGATTGTTTAAAATTTGCCAGTCGACAAGACACACAGGTTTATTGCAGCTGCTATATAGAAATGGTACTTGAAGATTGTTCGTAGCTTGCTGAATTTCCAGGGCTGTCTTTTTAAAGACTTTTTTAACCTCGATCGGCAATACGATATTACGAAGTAGAAAACAAGTAAACGCACTATTAAATTTTCCTTCACTGGTAAAGATTGATGAAGCACCATTTGCACATGTATAAGCAAATATTGTCGGTGGTGGTGTGTACTTCGGTGCAATAATCTCCTGCTCCTTCTTTAGCGATGCGGGTACTACGACACTAGGGATGGGCATCGATTGTGGATACTGACGAGATTGAGCACCATCCAGAACAACTATGATCAAACTTGGACGTTGTTCATACATATCTATGATCAGTTCCGAAGTATTAAAATAACGTTTTTGTATTTTACTTCCGTTTCTACCATTGTAATCTATTGGCATCAAATAGTTGTTACTATCATATTCCTTGCCACGACCAGAGAAGTAGAACAAAACAATGGCGCCTGATTGAATGAATTTTCTGAATCGTTCAGTGACAATTTTCATATCCATGTATGCAAGATCTGTTTTCAATTTTGCATGAAATCCAATCAAATGTAAAGCTTCACTCATGTCTTTAGCGCTATTAATACATGACTCCAATGGTGAACGACTATAACGATCATTGCCAATTATCAAAGCACATTTCACAGCTGTTGTCATAATATCTAAGAAATCCACATGTATAATAGATAGCTTTAACCATGAACCTTTGCAGAATATCCTAACAAGGCTAGAGACTTATCACATTTTCTTTCGTATTCAATCATAGTCATCAGAATAACTGAAAGTTCTTTTTTTTTAAGGATATACCACCTATGGTTTCACATTTTGATATACATAGGTGCATAGAAAGCATACATATCTTGATTTCTTGCAGAAGTCGTTGAGACGAATGTGCAAGTATGGTAAGCATGACTATTCTGCATATTTCTTTTAACGGATAATTTCAAATAAGACTCAATATAGGTGAAAGTCATATGGAGCTTATTTTCACAAAAAAAATCGGTTTTTATTTGAATATTCTCTGCATTTATTTACGATTGCTGAT